CCCGCCCCGCTTCGCCAGCGCGACTGACAGCGCCTCCGCCCAATAGCCACGCCAAGCACGGAGCGCGGACCAATAGGCGCCAGGTGTCCGCCCCGTCGCTGCGCTCTCCAATTGGCGCAAGGGTACCTCCCCTGCCACCCTGCGGTCGGCCACCAATAGGCAGTGAGGGCCGGCCCGATCACGCTCCGCCCCCTCAGGGTTATTGAGACTTTGGATTGGCCAATTAGTCGGCGACGTGGGCGCCGCTTCCTCTCCGATTGGCGTATCCGGCGCGGGGCGCCCGGCGCTCATTGGAAGAGTAGGCTGCGAGGGATAGGACGGCGCGAAGAAGCCTGTGGAGCGCGGGCTAGGTGAGTGCGAGGAGTGGTTGCCGTGGTCCGGGGCGGGATGGAGGCAGGGGTGGCCTTGGGCACCGAGAGCGCAGCTCGGCGCCCGCGCGGCCCTCCTCCTGGGGCTTTGTGGGGAGGGGGTCGCGCGTCATCGATGCCCCAAGCCGCGGTTCGCACCCGCGGGTGGGCGGGCAGAAGGCACAGCCGAGCGAGGGTACGAGCGAGGGTCCGAGCGAGTCCCGGTGGCGGGAGGGAGCCCGGGGCCGGTGCCGCGCGGGCTGGCTAGTGGGGCTGGGACCGGAGGGGCCCGGTCCTGGGGCCGTCAGCTCGCACAGCTGCAGGGCCAGTTTGGGCTGTGGCAGCAGTCTAGGGACCGTGGGGTGGGGCGGGAGAGGGTGGGGGTGGACAACCTCGGAGATGCAGCGCCCGGTGGGAAGAGCAGATGCGCGTGGGTGGCAGGCTGCGTCTGCAGGGCGCCCTGGTCCATCGGACGGCCAAGGCGGGGTCTGCTGGACACCCAGGTCTGGGGGAGTGGGGAGTGCTCAAAGCCCTAGGGGCTGAAGAGAGAAGAGGTTCCCAGGGCAGAAGACGATCCTGAGAAGCGACGGGGGCCAGAAGTCCAGGCTGGCCAGTTCTGGAGAAACCACAGAGGTGGCCCAGGCGTGGGAGGACCTGTGTGGCCACCCAAGGTCCCAGGTGAAAGCTTCCTCCCAGCAGCCCAGGATGAAGGAGTGCTCGTTGGCGCCCTTTGTGGGAGGGGGAGCCGGAAAAGATGCCCAGCCTTGAGGGTGGGCTGCTCCCAACAGGGCTGGACACCCCAGGGCAGGTCAGCCTCTGGATGACCGAGTTCTGCAGAGTATGGAGACCAAACGATTCCCATTGGATTTGTTAACAGGTGGGCCGTGTAAACTCAGGGTCGGCCTCATTTGGGTCGGGGCTTAGAACACACAGCCTGGACCTGCATCGCAGGCCAGCCACTTGCTGGCTGCATGACCTTAAGCTTGTCGTTTAACCTCTCTGTGCTGCTGTTTTCTCACCAGCAAGACAGGGGTTATAATATTGCTCGTGTGATGCTTGAGTTCATACCTGTCACGTGCTTGGAAGAGACTAAGTGTTTGATAAAAGTCAGCCCTCGACCTTTCATTACCTTTGGTGATTTTAGGGCAACATCAGTGGAGCTGTATGTAGCTTGCCTGAATTTAGCTCCGAACTTGGCCAGAGAAAGAATTAACAGTTTCAGTGTGTGGGGATTGTGTCCTCCCACCCCGACCAACCCTCCGGTTCCTTTGGGTGGCTGTCTGGTTGAGCGGGAGAGGCCCTGAACACGTTTATTTTAGTGCATTAGTTTTGAAAGAAGATCTTCCCTCATTCTCCCCTTGAGTCCTTAGTTTGAGTCAACAAAAGCTGCCGGAAACCTGAGCGTTGCCCCCAGGGTGGAGGTGGGCCCATCTGCCACGGCCCCACCTTCCTGTCCCAGCGTGTCGTGGGGTCCTCAGGCCCCCTCAGAGCCCCAGAGATACAAGAAAGTGATTCCACCTGGGAAGGCTCGGGGAACATAACTGGAGTTTCCTCAAAGTCTTGTGCTGGGCCCTAAGAGCTGATGCACCTTCACACTCACCAAGCAGCGCCCGCTGTTAGCTGTGCCCCTGAAACGGTACCTACACTCAGATGCTCCTGGAAGCTGCTCCGCTCTGTCCAGGCCCACCCCGTGCCTGCTACTGGGTGCTGCCTGGGCACATGCTTGTCCCTGGTTGGAGAAGCACAGGCCTGGAGGGTGGCTGGCCCACCCAGGCCCTGCTCTTGGTCCGGCTCCTGGGCCAGTGTCGGGTACCCAGCAGGTGCTCCGCCAGTGGGCACTCTGCTTCTGGGGGCCCTACCCCCCATCACGGAAGCTTGAGGCCCTTCGGTTGGTGGTCACCCGCTGGTTTTCCTGCCCCTGTGTCCAGCTGCTCATCAGGATCCGAGCTTTATATACAGGCACCTCCTGGCTCTGTCCCCACGCAGGCTCCCTCCCCCGATCATTCAGAATCCAGACCCCAGCCCACTCGCTGCTCCCAGCTTCAGGGCCCTCGCCAGGGTGGGGGGGGGGCGGGCTTTCCCCAAGTCTAGGGGAAGAACACACGCCCTTCCTCTCGCA